TCCAATCTAAATCAATTTTAACATCTTAATATTCATGTTCTTCTTCATTTAATACCAACTCTGAACTAGGTATAGAAGCAAGAGTTGTAGATCTGGAGCTAACTGAAGAATTACTTCTGAATAATCGACTCATTATGATTTTATAAAATTAAATCCAATTCCAAAATTCAATTATAACTTATCATGTTTCCTCATACGGTGTGTTCACTCATACCCTTTCCGGGAACCCCTATATCCTACAACTGTCTAATCCTAAGAACTTACTCTGGATTGGGACGAAAGGTGGGTGGCTACTGACAAAGTGGAAAACAAGAGATAAGTTAAGCAAGAATAAGGAAACTGGAATTTAATTAAAGAAAATCAAATGAGAAGGTTAAGCAGAGATAATAATTCAACAATAAGCACTTATTAACAACTTAGCTTTGATACCAAAAGAGACGGAAACAGGAAGCAGCACTAAATAAACTAAATAATAATAAGTAAAGTATTTTTACTGAAATAAAACTTACATAAAACTTAACTGAAATAAAACTTACAATTGTTTACTGGAATGAAGCATACAGTTCTTGAAAACTAATTTGAAAAATATAACATTACAGAGATAGCTATTTTTCTTGAGGAATGAGCATTCGAATTTTTTTCTAACTCTGCTTTATTCTTGACTGAAGAGGCTCTTTTATAGACATAAGGGGTTTACTGTGAGCCTTGTGAGGTTTACTGACTGAAAGAGGCACATGGGAGCCAGCTACAACTTTCGGTGAGTGACAAAAAGTGATGGTTGCCTTTTACTATTCTGAATTTGTCGGTTTGATGCATTATGATGAATGATGAATAGTAATGTTGACTTTTTGATGAATAATGAACAGTAAATTTGACTTTTTTCACTATTCATTGGAGGCATGTGACTAGGGGAACCAATATAGATATATATATATATATATATCAGCAACTTTTCTCTATAATATATAAATAATGTATTTATATAAATTGATATATTATTTAATATATAAATAATATATTTATTATATAATTTAAATAAATATAAACGACCCGAGCTTATGCGAGCCGAGCCGAGCCCTTAACGAGCCGAGCTTGTTCATGAACAGCTCGGTTCATTTACAGCTTTAAGTGTGAAATAGCTTATTCAATTAACCTTTTTTTTTTTTTTTTTTTATGTTCATTACTTGTCTATAGTTCTCATAAAAAATAATGATAATAATCTATAGTCCATTTGGGTCTTTTTCTATTTTAAAAAAAATAAAAAATAAAAAAATCTATGAGTATAACCGTAAATTAACATGTCCACAGCAGAAACTGATAATCAAAAGTAAGGGGTGAACAGTTTCTCAGAATTAGCTTTTTGAGTTAAAATAAGTTATTAGAATCAGAAACTATTTGAAATAAGTTTAATTAAACAATTCAAAACAACTTTTCGAAAGCTATAAGGTATAAGTTGTCTCAAAAAAGTCTAAACAAACACCCCCATATCAATCTTGGAGAGGAGATTCTTTTGTGTTGGTGTTTAGCAACATGGTTTTGAGAAAACCACATGGAACATCAAGGCCGAGCAACAAATCTTCTATGGGTTCGTTTGGGATATAGGTTAATTTTTTGACTTTTTGACTTTTTAACTATTTTAGTCTAGGGTTAAAAAGTCTTGTCTGAAATAAATTTTTGTTGGACAATCTTCAAAGTATTCAAAGAAAGAATTAAAAAAAGGAGAGAGACTATTTGATTACAAAAATCAAAATAGTATATAGAAAAAAAATTAGAACAACAGATTCTTATTTTGTGACAAAAACAAAATCAGAATCTGATAAAGAAAAATAAATAAAACAGAAAAGAAAACTATTCACTTACCTTATTAATTTCTCGAACAAATTTTTAATCAAATCCAATATTTAACACTGTATCCTTAAAACAGATTCATCATCTCCTCGGTACTTTCAGCTTGTGAACGTCTATCTCCTAAGATAAAATGATCAACAATAAATAGTAGCAGCACTACAAACTATTCGCACAACGAACATACTGTGTTTACATTATTTATCACAGAAAAAATAATGCAACAAAATACAGAGAACAATAGTAGAATTGAAGACAAAAAATTGAGCGAAAATCCAAATGAGGAACTTGTCTGTTTATAGGTGCAATGGTGGCTTTTCAGATTTGAATTCAACAGGTAGCAAACCTATTTGAACAAGTATAGTACCTGCTCGGTATTGTTTGAACAGTTAAGGAACCTTTTTGGTTTAAATTTGAACAGATACTGAATCTGGTCAGTTTAAATTAGATAGATATGAACCTATTTGGATGGAGGAATAAACTAGACACCATTTCAGAATTAATTTCAAAATTTAAATTCTAAAAAAGGTAAGAATTTAATTTTAAAAAAAAAATCAAAATGTTTTTTACCCAAAAAAATAAACATTGCGCCGGACAAGTCCAACCAACTTCATTTGGCCTAATAAGATAAGCCCAGCGTAACTCGCTTGGACGACCATATGTATTTGTTTTGGGTTCAATAGGTCTAATTCACTTTGCCCATAACCTCACCATTTCACAAAACTTGGGTACTCCTTGGGGCCTATTCTCAAGTTACAAACCCAAGTCTTATAAACCCATATAAAGTTTGCCTACAAAACCAATGTGAGACAAACTTTAACTCAAACTTTTATGGAAATTCCACCAAACACATGGCCTTGTTTGGTTTGTATTTGAGAAACATGTTTTGAGATAAAATGTACGAAAATTTGTTTGGTTTGGTTTTTTTTCAAAAGATGTTTTGAAAAATTATTTTGAGAGAGAGTTTTGGAAAAATTGATTGATTTGATGTGTATGAGAGAGAGATTTGTTTGAAAAATTTGTAAACCAAATAAGTTTTGGAAAAAAATTTTGAGAAAATTTGTTTGGTTTGATTACTTTTGAAAACTTATATGTAGAGAATTTTGGTATCAATTTCTCATTCACCCGATAATGATTTTGAGCAACCAAATATACAACGTGAATCATTACGTGGTAAACAATGCATTACCACTTAGATCTGCCAACTTTGATGCATGAGTCCCACCTAAAAATTAGACCAAAGTTGGAAAAAATATATATTTTTTTCCAAAATCATTTCTAACACTTTTTAACTTTTTTTTAATTTTTATGGAAAAAAAAAAAAAAACATTCTGTCAAGTTCATTAGGATTTGTTTTCACATGCGATCATTTTATCTGCAGGCAATCTTGCCATTCGAGAGATTGTCGGGAAAAAAAATGATAGAAGTTGCTAGAGAGACTTTTTTGAATCTCCTTGAAAGTAAAAAAGTGAAGAAAAATTATAATGATCGTCCAAATAGATGTCATCAACTACCATGGATGTGTGAAAAATATATCGAAATATACAAAAAAAAAAAAAAAAAAAAAAAAAAAAAAAACAACAAAATTTTGTATATTATAAAATTTGTTTTTAGGATGCATAAAAAATGTCTTAAGATTCTAAACAATTTTTTTTAAAAAAAACATTGGTAGTATTTGGTACAATTTTAGAATTATGATTTGAGTGAGGAAAATTTGTTTAGTTATAATTTTTGAAAAGAGTTTGAAATTTTTAATGAGACATATGATATTTGATTAAAAAATTTACAACAACCAAACACACAATCCAAAATTCTATTCAAAACTCATAAAAAAGTTAAAAAAAAATTTCGAAAATATTTTTTATTTAAAACATAAAAATAACAGGTGCAAAAAAAAAAAACATTATTCTGATCAACCGGCCGAACGTCTGAGTAGATGATCAGATAGACGAGTTTTCAAATGCTAGTGTGGAAATGATTTTTGAAATGCAGAACCAAACGCAACATTCAAATCAATGAGTGAAATTATGATTTGAGAGAGAGCCCCACCAAACACAACTATTTTCTTCCACTTATTAACAACCCAATAAGCTATGCATTAGGCCATCTTTAATCCTTCATAAAATAGTGCTTCAGTCGTCTTATCAAACTGATATTAAATAAAGGAAGAGTTATATTTTCATCAATTAAAGGAGTTTTTATCCTTTTATCAAATTTTGTAAATGGTTGTTGGTGAACAACCGATCGGTCAATCGAGGTTTGGGATATATTATAATTTTATAAAAAGATTTGATGAAAATTTATATCACATCGAAAGACCGGCAGGACGACCGACCAATTTGATGAAACTTTTTATCATTAAAGTGCATCATATCAGATTAAACTTTGAGTAAAAAATTGATAAATGATTGGAGATGCTCTTAGACAATCTCCAAGTTGCATAAGATCTTTCATCAAATTCAAATTTGACGAAAACAATATTCCAACCGTTTCGTCAAATTGATATCAAATAGACAGAGTAATATATTTTTTATCAAATCAAGGGAGCGTTTAACCTTTCATCAAATTTTGCAAGTGATCGTTGGTGGATAACCGAGTAGACAACCTCCCAAACAACTGGGTTTTGGATGAAAATTTGCTCTACAACGAACGATTGACAAAACAACTAGCCATATAACTAGTAGAATTGATGAAAGCAATTAGAATGCATCGTATCATATTAAAACTTTTATCAACTTTTTACTCAAATTTGACAAAAAATTTGATGAAGCATCAGAAACGTTTTTACAAAGCCTTCGTTTGGAAAGTGCGTTGCCTTTTTGACTTTTTGGCATTTAGCTTGGCTAAAAAATATTGTTTGAAAGTATTTTTTTGACTTTTGTGAGAGAAAAAATAAAATGATTGTAATTTAAATGTGACAATTTATTTTATTATTTTTTAATCTATTTTATTGTTATTATTATTATTATTATTTGACTAAAATAACATCAACCTTACCTGCCAAACATAGGCAAAAGACTATTTTGGTCATTTTGTAATGAAGTTTAAACTTTCAAACGGAAAGGAAATTCTCAACGGTCATCTTCCCAGCCTTTTGCTCTTCTTTTCTTTTTCTCTCCCTATAGTCTTCTATATCAATCAGTTTCGGACAATTCAACTCTACTCTCTCTCTCTCTCTCTCTCTCTCTCTCCCTCTCCAAGAAGAGGTCATGAAATCGAACGCAGAGATGTCAGAGAATCGATTTTTGGGAAGCATCTCAGCCTCGTCCATTCGAAACCTCCTTCACAGATCAGTCTCCACCAAGCACAAGACGAACTCAACTCGCTCCAAATCGGGGCCCGACGGTGAAAACAATCCCCCGATCGATCCGAACATTCTGCTTGATAAAGACCCAATCCCTAAACAATCACTGTCAAAACATGAAATTTCGCAGAGAGAAATCACCAAATCAGACTCTCAGAAGGAAGTACTTTCTCCTCCAGCAGATCCACCAGTCAAGGTGCGAAAGTTTGTTAATTTGTTCCTTTTCGAAACCCTCGTCGTTGAAATTTGATCGATTTTAAAGGTTAATATTAGTGTTTTGTGCCATAATTGTGTGTAATTGCAATCTGTTTGGTTGTTTAGGTTGTAGTGAGGATTAGACCAGCTAATGGTCATGAAAGAGAAGGAGATCAATTGGTGAGGAAGCTCTCTGATGATTCAGTAGCTGCTGAGGATAAAAAGTTTACCTTTGATTCAGTTCTTGACTCAAAATCAAACCAGGTTTCAACTTAAATTCTGCATTTTTATGAGCCCAGTATTTTTTTTCTTTATTGAAGTTCTTCCCTGATGATTTCCCAGAATATTGAGTGAAAATAATGACATTCGTCCATCAAAATGAAGATAAAAGTTACAATTTTTTTAAATTTAAAATTTGTGATCAAACAGTGAATATGAGGATTTTGATTTATAAATTGATTGTTTTGTTTCTACCAGGAATATGTATTTCAGTTAGTTGGTGTTCCTTTAGTTAAAAATGCATTAGCTGGTTACAACACAACAATCTTGGCATATGGACAGGTATTTCTAGATTCTAGTCAATGTAGTAGCCATTGATTCAATTGATTGTATATTTGCCGTGTAATAACTTTTCGATGAGTTGTGTGTAGGCTGGAAGTGGTAAGTCTTATACGATGTGGGGTCCGCCAAGTGCGATGGTTGAGAATCAGGCATCCAATAGTCATCAGGGCATTGTTCCACGCATCTTCCAGATGCTATTCTCTGAGATTCAGCGAGTAGGTTCTGTTTATTTAACTGGCCAAGCAAGTAATATGAGGATTTTAAGTTGTGCTTGATTGTAGTCTATTTTCAAATTTCATGTAGGAAAAAGAGAACTCAGAAGGTAAACAAATAAATTTTCAGTGCCGCTGTTCGTTCCTTGAGGTTTGTGTGTGTTTATTTATTTATTTAAATGTTTGGGCCTTTTGCTTTAAATGATATAAGGTGTATTACTTCTTTATGTCTGTGACATGAATCGAACAGATTGAGAATTTATGTTGATTTTATTTATCTTTTGCTGTCTCAGATATACAATGAACAAATAGGAGATTTACTTGATCCAACCCAACGAAACCTAGAGGTGGGTATTGCTCTCTCTCTCTCTCTCTCTTCAATACCTTTTTGGATTACTTTTATGTGTGCTTAATGGTGGTTAAACTGCTGCAGATAAGGGATGATACCAAACATGGATTTTGTGTTGAGAATTTGACCGAGGAATATGTGACCAGTTATGAGGACATAACCCAAATATTAATTAAGGTAGCAAATAACAAGGCATTCAAGTTTTGTTCTTTTTTCCATGAGCATGTTTCTTGTTGCTTATTGAATTAGTGCTACAGATTGCTCCTTGTTGATACTTCATGGATTTTCTTTTATGCTTGTTAACTTTTATTTCTGGCTCAGGGGCTTTCAAGTAGGAAGGTCGTAGCAACAAGCATACATTCAGAAAGTTCACAATCCCATATTGTGTTTACATGCGTCATCGAGTCCTGGTGCAAGGTATAATTGAAAATTGGAGTTTGCAATTGCTATCAATTACTATTTGAAATTATCTAACATTTAATATTTTTAGGTTGTGTTTGACTCTTTGTATAATAATATATACTGCTAGGATATGTAACCTTCAATTTTTTTGTTAAACAAAATCTTCGTAGTTGCTTCATTTTACCCATCATCCATATGCATTTGCAAGAAGCTGATTGTGTTTTTCCTTCTCTTCTTCTTCTTCTTCTTTGAATTAAGCCTAATTTATGTATCACTATGGGTTATAAGTTCATATTTTTATTCACCCAAAAAAACGTTCATATTTTTTCTTAGCATTTTGGCTGAAAAGCGAACTAATACTTCTTTTACTTCTACGGCAATTACTATGTATAGAGAGAAGCTCATGTTATTTTGGCCCACATAATGGCTAGATTTAATTTAGTTGGTACTGAACATGTGTATTTGTTTTCAGTTAACTATGCCAGGAAATTGAAACTAATTTCATGAGCAGAGAGATTTGTTATCATCAATTTAATTATCTTTCTATTTGTTCCTAGTGGCATTTACATGTGCTTTAGTGAATTTTTCTCCGATACTCTCTAATTTTATTTCTTATTTCTTTTTCTTCTTTTGTGGAAAATGCTTGCTGCAGGGAACATCATCAAAATGTTTTGGTAGTTCAAAGACAAGCAGAATCAGCCTTGTTGATCTTGCAGGACTGGAGCGAAGTAAACTTGATGATGATGGTAGGCAGTGTGTAAAGGAGGAAAAAAATGTGAAGAAGTCTCTATCACAGTTGGGGTATGATGCAATGAACTCTATCAAGATATTACTAGTGATTGAATGCTGGGAAAACAATAATTCACAAGCATATACTCTTGTCTACTTCAAGAAATCTGACAATGACGTTCTGATTTGAATTTGTTATTTGCTATTTTTTATGTCAAGGATATAATTGTCAGGCATGGCAACACCTTATGTCTGGTTGCATTTAGAATGTATGTGCATTAAAACCAATTAAACCAATACTTTGTACCATTAACAGTTAACTAGTGGTTCCCTCCATCTACAAGTGAATACCCATGATTGAGTTTTGCTGCTGCTTTTTTGTAGTTATGGTTCTGTTTAATTGGTGCAGGCACTTGGTGAATATCCTTGCTGAAGGAGGTCAGTCAGGAAAAACACAAGATATTGCTTACAGAAGCTCCAGTTTGACAAATTTGTTGAAAGAATCACTTGGTGGAAATGTCAAGTTTGCAGTTATTTGTGCCATCTCTCCTGATAGCAAGTAATTAAACTTCAACCAACACTCTGCGTTATATTTGCACAAGCTTGATAATAATGACATGAACTTAAAAACCATGGTGTTACATGTAATGTGTATGCTAAAAGCTGGTGTTGTGGGTGGTTTGAGAACCACTCAATCAGTCATTCTACGGTGGCTGGCCTTGGGAAACTGGCCCATCTGATGACCTGGTGGAAACACTAGTTAATAGTCAATTTACAAGAATTTGTGCAGTACTCGGGGCGAAGGACTTAGATAGTTAGATATAGGAAACATAGTTAGTGTATCAACTTAATGCCATTCCATTGAGACTCGCTTGAAATCTGCAACGTTCTTTATTTATTTATTTATTTTAATGCTGAAACAATTGTCATCTGTGTTCAATCTTGAATGTAGCAGTAGCTGTGAAACATTAAGCACACTCAGATTTGGACAGCGAGTAAAATCCATACACAATGAGCCAGTAATAAATGAAATTTCAGAGGATGATGTTGACCTTAGTGACCAGATTCGTCAATTGAAGGTAATTCCACCTTTTCTAGATGAGGCATTTCAAAGATGATTAAACTAAGATGATGATGAGTATCTCCCTTGATTGCAGGAAGAACTCATAAGAGCAAAGTCATGTAACTCAGTTGGAAGAAGTGTACTTGAGAGCTTGAATCATTTGAGATTGAGCCTTAATCGCTCCTTGATCCTACCCCGCATAGATAATGATGCCAAGGATGAAGCATATGCTAATAATGATGATGTACGAGAACTACGTCTTCAGTTAGACAAAGTGCACAGTTCTGGTGAAGAGAAAATAGAAGACACCTATGAAAGCAGTAGCTGCATTCAGTTTTCTTCTGTAGAAGGAGGTGGTTCTGACACAGAATTGACAAGTGACCATTATGGAAGCTCTCTAGAAGAAAGTGAAGCTGACGAATTTAGTCTGGACAAATCTCACACAGAACTTCGACAGGAGGAGAGCTTTGCTTCTGTGGATGACATTGCAGGTGGGCCCCACACTTCAAAGACCATAGATACTGCATTCAGGAGTAGTATTTCAATCAGTTCGTTGCATCAGTCTTCAGTGTTCCAAGATCCGACGTTGTCTGAATCTCCAAAATTTCAAAACAACCATAGGAAAAGCATAACCTTTGCATCATCAACTCATCTGGCAAGTCAGAATATTGTGTCAGAGAGTTCCAAGTTTGGTTCAGATGTATCACGACAGTCACACAGACAAAGTGATATTCGATCCTCTTTGCGGTCAAGCAAGATATTTCCAGGCCCCACAGAGTCCCTGGCTGCTAGCCTTCAGAGGGGCTTACAGATTATTGACTCTCACCAGCAGAATTCAGCATCAGATGCACCTTCAGTTGCATTCTCTTTTGAGCATTTGGCATTGAAGCCATGTCCAACAGGTGACAGAGCCAAATCTTCACTTCAAACATTATCAGAAGAGAGACCATCAACATATGGATCTTTTACTTCTTTTCTGTGTGCATCATGCCGGAGAACAGGAGGATTGACTGGCTCCACCAAAGTCCAGGATAGCTTGAAGGCATTGACTTCAGTGGATAGTGCAGAGAATTCAAATGGATTGATTGCTTATGTGCCTAAAGTAAATCTAGATTCAAGTTGTTAATGCCTTGAAAGCAAGTTTATTATATCCTTTGCTCTATGTGCTCACCTGTTTTATTTCTTCATTGTCAGGATGCTGGGAAAGGTTTGGCAGAAGCCAGCAAGAGAGAGAAGGAGCTGGAAAGCATTTGCATGAAACAAGCAGCCAAAATTGAGCAGCTAAATCTTCTGGTATAATACCTTGTTCTTTATAATGAGATGAAGCTTTAATCAGGATTTCACATAATCACATTATTAATAACCTGTAATTCTGCAGGTGGAGCAATACAAACATGACAGAAAACAGAATTCTATCCTCGAGCATAGTTATACTCTTCATCCTGAGGACTTGAATAGTGAAATAATACAAATTGATGAGCTCGAAAATCAAAAGTTTCATGCACCCAAGGATGAAAGAAAGGTTAGTTGTCTGGAACTGCTCTTCTGCAATCTAGGAAGCACGGATACAGATACGGGATACGGATACTATACGATACGGATACGGCGATACGACTAAATTTGAAAAATTAGGATACAGGTACGGCGGAGATACGTTCATAAAAAATATTATTTTAACAATTTTTAGTAATGCAGTATGCATAAAAATAAAACCTAAAGCAAAAGACAACTTGATAAAGAAGAAAGATTCCTATAAAACTAAGAGTCAGTGAATATCACAAGACCTTAGCTAAAGCGAAAAAACCATTCTTAAATAAAAATTTCAGCAAATATACTTTTTTAAGTCATCAATGATAGCCTAGGAAGTACGGATACGGATATGGTGATATGGGGATGTGGATATGGCGATATGTCAAAATTTGAAAAAGTATAATACGGGTACAACGGGATACATTCGTAATTTTTTTTTTATTTTATAATTTTAATAATGTAATGAAAATAAAACTTAAAGTAAATTAATAAATAAAGAGAGGGATTCCTATTAACCTAAAAGTGCTCAAACATTTATAAAACATCCAAAACTAAAAGCAAAAGCAAATGCAAATGCAAATTAAATATCATCCTTACATGCTAACACCAAAAACAGAATGAGAGCAGAGAGAAGAAACGTAAGAGAGTGAGAAAGAAAGAGAGAAGTGAGAGAGACAACAAGAATACATCAATTTGACAAATTCTATTACTTTAACTCTCACTATATTCCTCTTATCAAAGAACAAAGAACTAAACAAAATATTAGAAGTAATATGTAATTTCGAGTATCCGATACTTCAAAATTAATAAAAAATTAATTAAGAAGTATCCGATACGTATCCGCGAGTATCCGAGGAGTATCGGTATCCGATAAGTATCCGATATAGATACGTCACCATTTTTGAAGTATCCGTGCTTCATAGTCTGCAATCATCTATAAAGCCTTGTCTGTTGTTCTGATTGCATTTGTTCTTTTTTGTTCCCGGTGGTTTTTTCAGCCTTTGAGATGGGATGATGGTGAGAACCGTGAGATTATTAACGAAAAATATGAAATAAAAGAAATCATGGAAGAGATGGGCAGCGAGTACAGGAAAACATCCTTTGATATTAATGAGAAGGAAGTACTTCTCAATGAAATTCAAAGCTTAAGGAGCAAGTTGCCGTCATTTACTGAAGGAACTCCTACAAAGTCTTTTGAGAGAGTGAGATCCTCTTTGTTGTTACAATCAATCCAATTGAGAAAAAGTGGTGCATTCTCTCAAGGCAACAATGAGGAAGAACTTGAGAAAGAAAGACAGAGATGGATGGAAATGGAAAGTGAATGGATTTCTTTGACTGATGAGTTGAGAATCGAACTTGAGTCCAGCCGCCGGCGTGCAGAAAAGGTGGAGATGGAGCTGATATTAGAGAAGAAGTGCACAGAGGAGTTGGATGAAGTACTTCAAAGATCTGTCATTGGGCATGCTAGAATGGTCGAACACTACTCCGAACTACAAGAAAAGTACAACGATTTAGTTGGAAAGTACCAGCTGACTATGGAAGGGATAGCAGAGCTGAAAAAGGCTGCTGCGAAAGCAGGAGCTAAGGGTCGTGGCTCTCGTTTTGCAAAATCCTTGGAAGCAGAACTTTCAGCCCTTAGAGTTGAGAGGGCAAGGGAGATGGAATTATTGAAAAAGGAGAACAGAAACCTCAAAATTCAACTTAGGGATACTGCAGAAGCTGTTCAAGCTGCCGGAGAACTCCTTGTTAGGCTGAAAGAAGCTGAGGAAGTAGCTTCAGTGGCAGAGGTATAGTGCTTAATTACCATAATTTTTTTGGTATCTGAAGATAGCTTTAATATGTAAAATGTCTTTTAAAAAAAAAGGGCATGACAGTGAATGTGTTTGATGTGCTTGTCTTTGCTATTTCTTTATCTTTGTCTACCAGGAGAATGTTGCAAATGTTCAGGAAGAGAATGATAAGCTAAAAGATCAAGTGGAGAAACTCAAAAGAAAGCACAAGATGGAGATGATCACCATGAAGCAATACCTTGCCGAGAGCCGATTGCCAGAATCTGCATTGCGACCTCTATACAGGGAGGATTATGATGTAGCACACAACACTAGCCCACCACTGCAGGACGATGACCAGGCATGGAGAGCAGAATTCGGAGCCATATATCAAGATCATTACTGAGTTGAACATCACAGCTTGCATCAGACCCTACTTGGGTCCAAGCATAATAACTTTGTATTTTTTATTTTATTTGTGGTGTTTTTATGAGATTGAAAGTTATTTTTTTGTTTTTGTTTTTGTGTGTGTGTGTGTGTGTTGTTTCTTTCATCCATTTCTTGTTGATAATAAAGATACATTTGGAGTGATTGTGTGCACATTCCGAAAGCTTAGATACTGCTCAATCATTTTTGAGTAATGGAAACTTTTCTAATCCAACTTGAGTTAGGATAACAAAAAGAAAAGTGCAATTATGTTAAATTTATGTGGCTTATTATATTTTTTCAAACTTCAGGGATGGTCTGTGTAATTTACCCAAAAAAAATAAAAACGACGTCGTTTCTTGAGAATAACAACCGATATATTCTTGTATATATATACATATATCGAAAATATCAAGCTGCGAAAACAAGAGGTGAGAGACTGAGCAGTTTACCCTAACAATTACATATAGCATATTAGGGCATATACAGACTTTGCAAAACGGCGACTATGGCGGATTCTCCAACCTCCGATACTGACCCAGAACTTGACAACAGTGGCTCTAACCCTAACCCAAACCCTAACCCTAATTTTACTTCGGACGCAATGAGCCCCGGTCCTCCTCTTGTTTGCCTCCTCAGGTTCGCCGGTGACTCCGTTGCAGGCGCTTTCATGGGCTCCGTTTTCGGCTACGGTCATATCTCTCTCTTGAATTCTATGTTATTGCTTTCTTACTGAGATTGAAATTAGAGGCTTGTTTTGTGGTGATTTTGATTTAGGGATTTGTCACGATTCACTGAATTTTTATTGTAGCCTTATGGTTTATGTACTTTATGGGAAAATTGTAATGAATGTAACTGTGCAACAAGTGAAATTTGTGGGGTTTGGGTTAGATAATGTTTCTGGGTTGTAATTCTCAAAATGGGTTTGAGTTTATGTGGTGGTGATTAAATATTTCATATAAGCTTGCCAGGTGAAATACTAGCTCATACAACAATGTTGGGTTTGGCACCCCTGTTTGTTTTGTCATGCCATTTAGTGAACACTTAATTTATTACTTTTGTAGGGTTGCAGTTCGTTGCAGAATTGAAGCATAAATAATGTCATAAAATAATTTTATGGTTAATTTGATCTTATAGATGATGTCAATGGATGTCTGCTTACATATAGATGAAGTGATAAGTTATGCACTATTCAGTTTTGTTGGGAGAGACAATGAAGGCATTAAGGACAAAGGATTATTTAAGCATTTAAATTCATATCTTTTAAGTAATGGAAGCTTGTGCTGTGTAAATGTCTATTTTTCCTGTTGCATGGGGGTTAAAATAAGGTTCAGTACGATTTTGTTGATGTTGTGATGAATCACACCCTTCTCTTCTAATGTTTACTTGCGGGTAGGATAGTTTACACATTTGATTTTTCACCTTCGATAGAATGAGTTAGTTATTGTATTGTCATCCTTTACTGAACATTGTGAATTTTGTTAGAAGATTGAAGATTGTACCCTTTGTGAGTAGGTTCTAAATTACCCATTTTGAATCATTTGGAGTGTTTGGTTGAGGCATAATTGTGAAATCAGATAATAGTATTAATTCATTGATTACCAATCGTGTTTAAGCCTTCCTTGGGAGTAATTTTGAACTTTAATAAATAGTTCAGTGTTAAATTGGAACTATCCTTCCAAAAAAAAAATTAAAAAAAAATTAAAATTGGAACTATCCTTCTGTGGAAACATGTTTATAATATTCTGTGTGATTTAGCAGGTGTGTTGATGAATTTCTTGTGTTTGTATCAGGTTCAGGATTGATTAAGAAGAAAGGGTTTAAAGGATCCTTCGCGGAGGCAGGATCTTCTGCCAAGGTACAAGAGATCCTATAATCTACAAGAAATTTGATTTGAAAAATGAAGTTGATGGAGTAGTTTCAACTCTTAATACCCGTTGATGTAGTTTTTATAGGCGTATATTGCTTACAAAAATTAGGTCTTTTTATTTACCTTTCCCTTCTATCAGACATTTGCAGTTTTGTCTGGAGTACACAGTTTGGTTGTCTGCTTTTTGAAGAGGCTGCGAGGGAAGGATGATGGTATGAAATCTCAATTGTAGTCCTGACACTCTACATGATTTTTCATTTTTAATGATTTTTTGGTGTTTGATTTTTTTTTTCCCCCCTTCAGTCATTAATGCAGGAGTTGCCGGATGTTGCACTGGTCTTGCCTTAAGTTTCCCAGGTACTTGATACCTTTATTAATGTAAATTTGCAATTACTTCCAAATTTCCAATTCTTCTTTTTGGCTTCCAATCACCAAGTTGCCCAGCTATTTTGTTATACTTTTGCTCATCAGTTAATTGTTCCTGTAGTTTAAGTTCCTAAATTCACATTTTACTTATAATGATTGGCTGGCAGGCCAGTTTTCTAACCATGAATTGACTTGCATAAAATAGCAATTGAGCATAAAGGTTCCGGTTTGAATTAGTGGAGGTAGGATGAGGTTGGGTATGTTAATGCTATTCTACTGAAAGAGTTGGAGGGACTGATCAGTATTTTATCTAAGTAGAATACAAATGCTATAAGAAACAGAAAGTGCACTTTGCATATATGGATACTTTTATGTGTTTGGGTGTACATGACTCTGTTAATTGAGCATTGTTTGTGCCATTTATGTTTTTTAGGTGCACCGCAGGCCCTTTTGCAGAGCTGCCTCACGTTTGGGGCATTCTCCTTCATCATTGAAGGCCTTAACAAGCAACAGCCAGCACTGGCACTTCCATTGTCAGCAGGAGCCCCAAGACTCGGCACTTCAGTATACTCCCTCCGTTAGCGCTTCCTCTTCCAGATGAATTTAAAGGGTCATTTTCTGTTTTCTGTCAATCAATAAGAAAAAAGTGAGGACGACAATTGTGCCGCTCACTGACTGAGCCAAGAATGAAGCAATTACGTTTCGGATGTCTGTGGAATGTTGGTGTGCCCATAAAGATGTTATATAAATTTGTTGGTTATCTTGACTTTGTCCAACTCCATTTAATGAAATTTCTCTTTTGGCATTTCTTTCTAAGCATTGTGACTTGGCATGAATGAGTTTGTAAATTGCAAATAAGATACTGGAATGATGTAATATCTGCTTTGTAAGAAAACCATGAAATTCTTACTACACGAGAATCATGGAAATCCTCACCATTGGTTGCTAAATTGTTAATTCTGTGTATTGTTCATGCCGTATCAGAAATTCTTACCTAAATCAAATATTGTCCTCGGTTGGAAAGTTGGCTATTTTATTAGATTATTTTAATTTTTTGTTATTTTAATATGTTAAAATATTTGTGTTTGGAAATAAGGTTGAGTTCCAAAAAAAAAAAATAATAATAAGGTTGAATTTTTTTTTTTGAAATTAGATGTGATATTTATAAAAGAAAAAAGTAAAATGATTATAAATTTGATATGATATTCTGTCTTATTAACTATTTTATTTATTTTATTTTTTAAAATTTTAACCCAAAAAACTAACAAAATTCTTTCCCAAACACCCCCAATTTTATTACACTGTTCCGTGTGCATTCATATATTATGTCCTAGCATGACATATGCACGGTCTTTAATAAAGACATTAAATCAATTAAAATTAAATAGTAAAGTTATTAAATAAATATATAATAATTTTGAATCAAGTAATTCTATTATCCATCCGCCTGCTAATTTCTACTACTCCGATCAAACTTTAACTCAGCTCATACTAGTTATTTCACTTTTGCCATCCTAATTTGGTCGATGCTCCTTTATAAAACTTTTATATTTGATTATAAATCTTGTCCTTAGTACTAAAATTAATATATTTAGGCTTTGTTTGAGAATGATATATTTTAATTAAATAGTTACTACAAAAGTTTTTCTTTATTTTTTTGTAAAAAATTTAAAAATCACTAAAAAAATCAATTCTAAAAAACTCTTATTTTTACTCTCTTTTGTTCTTTGAAAAAAAAAATTTATATTTGAGACGAAATTAAAATATATAAGAAAAAAATATTAAAAATCCAAGAGAACGTACGTGCTTTTTACTTTGTTGGAAAATAAAATCCAAGTTACAGCAAAGTCACTCTTATGATTCAATCCAACACTATAAATTAATATTCTAAAATTTTAATCATAACATTTTTATTTAAATGTACTATGATTTAAAAACAAAAAATCAACCCACTAAATTAATAAATAAATAAAAATATATTCGGATCAGGCATGTCATCAGGCCCAGGGTTAGTATAAAGAATGAAATGTGTTTATTTTTCATAAGTTATGCGTAATTTTAAAAATTAAATTTTAGATAACTTTTAAAATGACAACATTTTAATATCATACTTTATGATGTAATATTTTACACGACTCTAATTAGGTCGTTGATGGGCTCCATATGATATATATGTGGTTAGTGCTACATAATGCGTCATAGTACTCACCATAGTACTATTAAAATTTTATTTGAGACAAATTTCCTTTTGAAGGATTTTAAATATATGTAATCAAAATTTCATTTTAAACCTTGTATTAAAAAAATTTCAAATTCAAATGTGATTTTGATTTAAATATGACTAAGATTTTATTTTGAACTTTTTATTTATAAGTTTTTAAATTTTAAATTAGATGGGGTTAGATAGACCAATAGTTTTGTAACAAGTGTATTTCTTAATTTGAAAATTAAAATTTTTGAGCAATTTAAAATTTTAATTTCAATTTCCTAGAGTCTCTTAGATAAAAAAAATAAAAATAAATACTTTGTGGGCTAAATTTAATTATAATAATTCATATTTTTTAGTGGAAGATATCTTGGTGTTTAGATGATGATTATCACATGACATGCTAAATTTTGTCTAAGACGTTATACTAACTATTTTTTTTTTTAAAATGATTTCTTAGTCAAGATATCTTTATGGGCTAAATTTAATATACATAGACACAAATTTTATAATTAAATTTAATTTTTAAAAGATCACGAGTTAAGAAAATTTAAAAAATATTATTATACTGATGAATGACTCAATAATATATATATATATATATATTTTTGTATTTTGAAAAGTTAAAATATTTGACCTAGCCACCATATATATAGAATGTTTTAAAAGAGTTAAGATGAAATATCAATTACAATACCACCATATTGATCAAACTAACATTGTTTTAAAGGAGGTAAGATTAAATGTCCAACATATTATCATATTGATTAAATGATCAATAATTTCATGACATGTGTATTTTTATATTTTTAAAATTCAAAAAATAGAGAAAATTGCATTGACACTTTAAAACTCAAACACCCAACAACCTTGTTACTTATGTAATAGTATAGATTTTAAATTAAATGGGGTAGATAAATCAATACTTGAAAATTTTTAATTAGTATTTTCGAGATTTCTTAATTTTTTTCTTTTGAATTTTATGAGTGAAAATAGATTTGGATAAATTAGGAGGGATATTGTTTTATCTTTACTTTTAAAAAACTTAAATAATGAAATCATTACTATTTTATAGTTATTGGTTTAATGGGTTAATCAATAGTCTTTTTTTTAAGTAATTAATTAATTAGAAGCGTTAGAGTTTTGATAAGATTCTTCACGAAAAGGCTCATTTATTTAATATATGGTACAAATATATATAGATAGATACATACATACATACATGGCATCTTAAATCTACACAAAGAAATAATTTCATTATATATATAGATAGATAGATAGATAAAAACAAAAAAATACACATTTTTCGTAATGTTTTGTTTTTAGTAATTTTTTTTTTTTGGATAAATATCTTAGTTTGGTGTATTTGATTGAAATATGAAAAAAAATTAAAAGAGTTTATTGAAGTTTAAAAAAACAAAAACAAAAATAATTTAAAAAAATTAAACCAAACAACTCTGCTAAGTGTATTTTTAATAAAAATAATTAATTAATTATTAATAATTTTTGTTACATATGTACTTTTTATGTAATATATTAACATGATTTTTACAGAAAAGAATTTTAAAAAAATATATAGAATGAAACAATATCATAATTGAAAATGAAGAATCTATGACAATTTTTATTTAATTCTAGGAATGCTATTGTTGTAGACATATAATGGAATGTATATATGGTTGTAAATTTGAATAGATGGTTAATGGAAACTTTTGTTTATACGCAGATTGTTTTTCCAAGGAAAATATCAATTTTCTTGTTATGGTAGATATATATTAAGGTATTATGGTGAGTTAATCAGTAAGAATTTTTATAGTAATTTTAAAATCATAAAATTGAAGCCTTTACTATAATAAGAAAGATATGTAAAAATCAAGAAAACAATACTATCTACTCTGATACCAATTGAGGTGCTTAACACTGAATAAAGCTAAGCACGTCTGTCAACGACTTACAAGGATATGACCTAACCGCAATCACTGCTAACCGGTCTACCTCATATTGATTAAATGATCAATAATTTCATGACATGTGTATTTTTATATTTTTAAAATTCAAAAAATAGAGAAAATTGCATTGACACTTTAAAACTCAAACACCCAACAACCTTTTTACTTGTGTAATAGTATATATTTTAAATTAAATGGGGTAGATAAATCAATACTTGGAAATTTTTAATTAGTATTTTCGAGATTTCTTAATTTTTTTCTTTTGAATTTTATGAGAGAAAATAGATTTGGATAAATTAGGAGGGATATTATTTTATCTTTCCTTTTAAAAACCTTAAATAACGGAATCATTACTATTTTGTAGTTATTGGTTTAATGGGTTAATCAATAGTCTTTTTTTTTTTTTAAGTAATTAATTAACTAGAAGCGTTAGAGTTTTGATAAGATTCTTCACGAAAAGGCTCATTTATTTAATATATAGTACAAATATATATAGATAGATAGATACATACATGGCATCTTAAATCTACACAAAGAAATAATTTCATTATATATAGATAGATAGATAAAAACAAAAAAATACACATTTTTCGTAATGTTTTGTTTTTAGTAATTTTTTTTTTTTTGATAAATATCTTAGTTTGGTGTATTTGATTGAAATATGAAAAAAAATTAAAAGAGTTTATTGAAGTTTAAAAAAACAAAAACAAAAATAATTTAAAAAAATTAAACCAAACAACTCTGCTAAGTGTATTTTTAATAAAAATAATTAATTAATTATTAATAATTTTTGTTACATATGTACTTTTTATGTAATATATTAACATGATTTTTACAGAAAAGAATTTTAAAAAAATATATAGAATGAAACAATATCATAATTGAAAATGAAGAATCTATGACAATTTTTATTTAATTCTAGGAATGCTATTGTTGTAGACATATACTGGAATGTATATATGGTTGTAAATTTGAATAGATGGTTAATGGAAAGTTTTGTTTATACGCAGATTGTTTTTCCAAGGAAAATAACAATTTTCTTGTTATGGTAGATATATATTAAGGTATTATGGTGAGTTAATCAATAAGAATTTTTATAGTAATTTTAAAATCATAAAATTGAAGCCTTTACTATAATAAGAAAGATATGTAAAAATCCAGAAAACCTCTTTGCATCTATATAACTGTGGAAACCATCAAAACAGTAAAAGTTCCCAAACCACCACCATTTTTCTTTTGTTTCAACCCATCTGAATTAGCTATCCTTGTTCTTTCTTCTTCCATTAAGTCACTACGAAGTTGTTACCAATGGCCACTGGTCTCCACCATGTGAAAAAGGAAAACTATGCATTCATGGTTGTGTTTCAATCACCATATACGTATATTACATATATATCTTTGTCTACATTTTCTATTTACTTTTTCTTTTCTTTTTTATTTTATTATTAATATGAATCTTGTTTTTCTTGTACATAAAATTATTATCTGCAGGCTTGTATTCTGAGAGTGAATGTCCACACCGTCGGATGGCAAAAGATTGTGTCTACAGTTCTGAGCAATATCCAGGGTAATAACATTTCATGAATGTTTATTTAGGGGGCAAATTGTTATGAAAATACAAACCTCAGGGGGCGGGATGTAATTTTCAAAACCTCAGGGGGGTATCTGTAATTTAGCCAAACCTCGAGGGGTGTATATGTAATTTGCCCTTATTATTAATATGAATCTTGTTAAAACCTACTCCACTACACCTACTCCACCTACACCACTTCACCTACTCCACTACCCAACTCCA